AAGGAGGGGGGGGGGTATTCTTCCCACTGGCACCAGTGCTGGTGGGTGCTTTTATTACTCTCGCCGACACCAATGCAGTTGCGGTGCTTTTATTACTCCCATTATAAATAATGGGGGCCTTTTATTACTTCCTATGGATCCAATGCTGGAAGTGCTTTTATTACTCCAACCGACACCAATGCTGGAGCAACATTCTTTCCACTGAGGCAGGACCATTTATCACCAATGATGTTGGGGCATTTATTACCCCCACTAACCAACAGTGGGGCATATTCTATGCCTACAGATCATTGACACTGGAGCATGTCCTTCTCCCATTGACTGCCAATACCAGACAGTGAACTGGCCCTTTCTTTAAAGTGATACACCCAGGAGTTAAATCTTAAAATTGCATAAAAGTACTTTAACTATTACCATAAATGTAGTTTAACAGGGACCATGTGAAACAAAAGTAGTCACCCTCCAGAAGGAAGGTCAGGTCAGCATGAATTCAGAGATGATTTGAGGATCTACAGCTGAGTGATACACAAATAAGAGATATTTATTGTAATAGTTAATGTACTTAAATGCATTAAGGTGTAACACTTGAGTTTAGTGTCACTTTAAAAAGTTTTCTGACTACTGATCCTACATTAGACCCAGAAAAAAAAAAGTCTTTACATAAAAGAAATCAGGAAAGTGCAGAATTCCCTGGACTTATGTGTGAGCAAGCCATGGAAAGAACTGTTATGCAGTACACACTTCTCATAGTGATCAGCCTTTCCTTATGACATTGCATAACGTCCCACAGTGTAACGTGTGCCAGATAAACCAGCCAGAGGGTTTTCTGTCACCAGATAACGGACTTGGCACAATCACACAACATGATGGCGGTAATAAACTCTCCCACAGGTCACAGATCACAAGCCAACGATGTTTAGTAACGTCCGCAGGTGCTCAAAGCATGCAGCAAGCGTGATCACCCGCAGCCATTCCACAGCAGAAGCTGTCATGTCACCGCGCCGCTACCACTCACCTGCCGCACAAGCTTAGTCTGCAGAGCATGATTACTATATCTGACACCACGACCGGAACCCTAAAGGTGACAACTACAGAGCAGTCCAAGGGCTAAAACTAAATATGACAGTCTGTCCTTGGTCTATCCCCGCCCACCAGCTCTCCAAACTAGTTCCGGTGTTATCCCGGCCAGTGCTGCACCTGACACTCACTGGCGCTAGAGGGCGCTACTTACCTAGGTCACAGCTGCAGAACTTTGCTTGACTTGAAAAGAATTCAGAAAAGGACAACATAAAGGAAACACCATGTGATTGTATTTCTTTCTGCTTTATTTATTATTCCCATTGCATTGTTTCATGCTGTTTGTATTCAGCCTCATGCACATGGACGGTGTAATGATCATTAAAATGCCTGCGTTTAGACACATAAATACAGATGCGTTTAAATGTGTACAGTTCTCATTCTATCCCTCCTGCTGTGTTTTCAATGCAATTTTCTTGTTTGCACTTTATGTATGCATGCAAATATGCGCATAAACATGCATTGACATGCATACTTGTGTAAAATGTATGTACTCCTCCCATGGGGGCCCTTGCGAAGGCCCAGGGGCCCTTGTTGTTATCTTATATGGTATGGTTGGTCTCAACTGTCAATAGGCATGTGCACTTGAGAGTTACAGAGCTGATGAATGCGAGATTGATTGTCATGGGTGAGCACATCACAGGCAGAATGGACTGAGAAGAAATACAGACAGGTTCTCAAAAAGGATCTTTCAACTAGACCAGGGGTGGGCAACTCAGGCCCACCAGTTGTGCTTTAACTAAAAATCCCAACATGCCTCTGCGAGTCATGCCTGTAATTGCCAGTCTTGCAATGCCTCATGGGACTTGTAGTTCCACAACAGCTGGAAGGCCGGAGTTTCCCACCCCTGAACTAGACACTTGGTTCTGGTTTTACCTGTTCAAAAATACAAAACAAATCAATAAAGCTTTATTTTTTTTTTCTTATTATTTTCCAGTCTATTTGAGGAAGTAGGGCATATAGCATATATGATGTTACAAAAGAAAAATGGTGTCTATCTACAACAATTACTTGAGTTAAAATGTATATGGCCAATTTATATTTAATTGACGTGATAAAAAAAATCAGAAAACCTTCCAACCAGGTCAATCACTTTGGTTTCAATGTATTCATTGATTAAAATTACAACTTGATTTTATGGTTTTATTAATAAATATCAATTGATTTGTTGTATCAATTGATACATGTGCGAGCAGCATTAAAGTTGTGTTCATGTGACCTTCAACTCCCTCGCATCCAGTGGAGGAACTACCCTCATAGCGACCCAGGCGGCCGCTATGGGGCCCAGGGCACAGGGGGCCCGACCAGAACCAGGAACGAAGTAGCAGTAACATGGGGGGAGGGCAGGGGGTGCTGCGGGGTCCCATATACCGCCTGCAATGTACTGTATATGCCCTGAATACAATGCAGGGGTATATATATAGGACACACCGCTGGATCACCTCTCCCGTGATGCGGGCATTATGTGTCACATGCCCGTCACCTTCACACCCTGTGACTGGGATGTTGTCGGGCTCTGGCAGCACTGCAGTGTATTAGGTGAGTCACTGAGTCGTGAAGATGGGGGGGGG